GATTACCTCCTGGCTTTTCATTCTATTCTATAGCTACGGAGTAAAGTGATGAAGGTTGCTGAGGGGCTCTGGATTACACCTCCACTCAGGTGCTCCTGTCAGGTCTAATTATATGCAGCTTTCTTGTTAGGGTTCTTTCACATGGGCCTTCCATATGTCCATTTACAGATGAAAAATGGACACACATGTATTTCTATGGACTAGCAGATATAAACGGTTGATCTACTGTGTATATCCGTTAATGTCCGCATCCGTTTTTTTAACAGAAGAAAAACCTAATGGATGGAAAACTTATGTAAACGGATAGTTACATAGTTAGTATGGCTGAAAAAAGTCCATCCAGTTCAACCATTAAAAAAAAAAAAAAAAAAAGTTAGAATCCTATACCCACAGTTGATCTAGAGGAAGGCAAAAAAAACCCCAGAAAAGCATGAGCCAATTTGCTCCTGCAGGGGAAAAACATTCTTCCTGATCCCCAAAGAGGCAATCGGATATTCCCTAGATCAACTTTACCTATAAATGTTAGTATCCAGTTATATTCTGTGTATCTAAGAAAGAATCCAGGACTTTTTTAAAAGCAATCCACTGAGCTGACCAGAACCAACTCTTGAGGGAGTTTATTCCACATTTTCACAGCTCTCACTGTGAAGAAACCTTTCCGTGTTTAAAGATTAAATTTCTTTTCCTCCAGACGTAAAGAGTGCCCCCTTGTCCTCTGTGATGACCTCAGGGTGAATAGCTCTACATTGAGTTCACTATATGAACCACTGATGTATTTATACATGGTGATCATATCCCCCCTTAATCTCCTCTTCTCAAAAGAGAATAAATTCAGTTCCTCTAATCTTTCCTCATAGCTGAGCTCCTCCATGCCTCGTATCAGTTTGGTTGCCCTTCTCTGTACTTTCTCCAGATCCCCAATGTTCTTTTTGTGAATTGGTGCCAAAAACTGAACTGCATATTCTAGATATAAACATATGTAAATGAATGTAAACAGACATACGGTCCGTTTTTGCATCTGTTTTTGCATTGGTAAAGGATGTAAAAAACTGATGAGAAAATGACAAGAAACTGATGAGAAACTGATGAAAAAACTGATGTAAACTGATCCGTTTTTTTTCTTTGACTGAACTGATAACAAAACGGCACACTCGTGTGAAAGAAAGGACCCTTAGTTTCTCCCTGACCAGAGCAAGAAGTGTACTTGAAATAATCTTTCAACCCTTCAAAGCTAATAAACTGCATTGGATGCACTTCTTGCCACTGGAGCTGTTGACCAAACACACCACCAACCGTTGTCAATAGTCAATAAAACAAACACAAGTCAGTAGTGCTTCTTCCTCTAACTCACTGTACCAGGGGCGGACTGTCAACTCATGGGGCCCCCGGGCAATAGAGGATCATGGGGCCCCTGTGTCCTTGCCCAAACTCAAAAAACCCTATGAAAAAGGTACCGGGGCATCTCATGGGGTCCCCTACTGACCCCGGGCTCTTCGGGCAGTGCCCGAGTTTCCAAATGATCAGTCCGCCCCTGCACTGTACTGTAAATAAGTCCACTAAAAAGTACAATATATAGTACCTTTATCATGATTCAGTCTCCTACTATGATCAGGTTTCAGGCTCTGTTTCCTTGGCACATTACCTCTTGAATTTCTTCCTAGAGGCCAAACCTCACCTTTTGTTTCTCCGTGGTTCTTCTGTGTCAGATGACCTTCCCACTGCTCAGGGACCACCACCAGGGAAGATAAAGATCACTCCTAATAAAACGAACATCAACACGCTTTATTACAACACATCCAAACTTACATTAAAGTTTCCAAGGAAGAACCAGTTACCCCCCGCTGGAACATCCAGAAACACCACCCATGACAATATAAATCTCACTGTAATTTCTTGCAAAGTACTTGAGTGCAGGTTTCTGGGATATTCCCACACTTCACTGGTTATTCCTTCACAGAAAACATTGTAACAGTCCTTGATACTCCCAAGATGCTTTAACAAATGATGCCCAGTGACAACCAGTGTAATAGTCAACGTGCCAGTACATGGTGGAAGTTGTAACCACAGCTGTAAATGAGGTTCTTTTTTAATCCATTTATGAGTTTGTTCAAATGACAAACTCATAAATGGGAGGTGATGAGTTCTCCTTGGATCTGTTGTACTGTGCTTTTCTGGGAACATGCACCTATGCACGTGTATTTTACAATCACAGGTTACTTGAAGGTTGGTCTAATATAAATCATATCAATGTTTTTTTTTTACTGAGGGCCTGAAGTCTGAACGCAGTAACAAGCAGAGGACAAGGGACTAGTAAGCAGTGTGTCTCTGGTCTGCCTGCAGCTGATCTTTTCTCCAGTACTGACCTACCCTGCCTTGTTCTGCACTGTTTCTCTGTGTGGAAATGGCCATCTTTGTAAATTTGCAGGTCTTTACTTACTCAGGTAAGAACTGCCTCACTAATGACTAAGCTATTTAATAACTGGTAATGGCATATTCATGAAGCAGCAGGATAGGAGGAGGAAGCATAGATTCACAGAATGAATGAAACAGAAGGAAGGAGATCCTTGCACTGCAGGTCCTCAGGTCCAGCTTCCACTCCAGCAAGGAGAACTTTAAGCAGTACAGTAGTGACATCAGCAAAAGATCACTCTAAATCTTACAAACCTAGCAATTATAGACAACAGTACCTTAGATGATCTCATACTGAAGATATAAAGTTCAAGGAAGAGAAAATGTTTTTTTATTTTTAGGACTAATTACAGCAGAACTAAGGTTTTTTTAAATGCAAACACTCTGAAACTGCAAGTGAAAAATAGTGCATGCAAGCAAAACAATGGGGTTGATTTACTAAAGGCAAATAGACTGTGCACACTGCAAGTGCAGTTACTCCAGAGCTTAGTAAATGATGTAAGGCTTCACTTTGAAAAGAATACCCAATCACATGCAAATAAAAAAACAGCATTTTTGCTTGCACATGATTGAGTGATGGGAGTCGGCAGAGCTTCTGCACATGTACTAATCTTTGGAGCACCTTCTCTTGGAGAGTGCAACTGCCCTTTACAAAGTGCACAGTCGATTTGCCTTTAGTAAATCAAGCCCAGTGTGTCTTCTGGCTTTTCGAAAAGATCTCCCAGCTGCTGTAAAGACACAATACAAAACCCAAGATTCTCTATGTGTAAAGGCCCATTCACATTCACGTCTCTTATGTTCCATTCATTTTTATAGGACACCCAGCTGCACAGGCACAGCCACTATGTCCTAGCATAACAAGCGGGTGGGTGCATGGGGCCCAGGGGCGGACTGACCATTTGGAAACTCAGGCACTGCCCGAGGGACCGGGGTCAGTAGGAGGCCCCATGAGATGCCCCTGGTACCTTTTTCATAGGCTTTTTTGAGTTTGGGCAAGGACACAGGGGACCCATGATCCCCTATTGCCCAGGGCCCCATGAGTTGTCAGTCTGCCCCTGATGGGGCCTGAACACACTCTATATGATTTCCTGCACACTCCTGCATGTTATTTTAGGACACAGCAGCTGTGCCCATGCAGCATGTCCCAATAGAAATGAATGGGATGCCAGCATAGGGATGCACACAACAGCTGTGTATCCCCATGCCAGTAAAATACAGCCCTGTATGGGAGACGCATGTCTGCACTTCATGCGAATGGGGCCTAATTAGTCAATGAGAGAGCCAAATGAAAATTCCTTAAGAGTCCAAGTCTTTATTATGGTTACAACAAGCATGGCTATGGACAGCCACACATTCTGGGGGCCACACAGTCCCTTTCATCAGGGCTGGAGATAAAGTTTAACACACATAAAAATAATGATAAAGCAGAATTGCTACTAAAAATACACATATATAAAAGAAAAATAAACAAATAATAATGACATGTCCATGTAAAAACAAACTTGTCATTGAAGTAAGAAATGCAACAATAACAACTCAGGTGTATTTACTAAAGACATTGAAAATCTTCACACAATACATTCAATTTTCACTTTAATTATTCAATGACCGCAGATTAAATCGAAAAACAGAGATACACTGTGTATCTACTTTCCTTTAAACACCATTGCAAAGTATTTTTAGAGTAACTGCTATGAGTGATTATACACCATGGCGCCTTCAGCTGTGCCATCAAATAGGACCTAATGTCTTCTGCTTCCACAACAACTCCTAAATTACATTTTATAGCCTCATAAATAATATATATAATGCATGCAAAGCTATCTGTATGTTCACTTATACAGATTTTTTTAACCTCTACTATAAAATTGTTATTAACCAGTTCCTCTCTAACACCTGTACACTCCCTATGGGCCAGAGCAAATTTTACATATCTGCCATTGGCTTGTCTATCTGACACAAAATTTTGTAATTACTTAGGACTATTCATACTTTTTTAGCACATACAGGGCTTTCTTTTGGTGATATTGTTTTGAAAAAATTATCTTATTTTTGATTCAATACATAGGCACACAAAAAAATGTAACAAACCTTTAAAAATATTTTTTTTTACTTTGATCAATGTTATTTAAAAAAAAATTGTTAATGTAGATACAAGTGTAATTTTTAAAAAATAATTTGTCCCATTAAAACAACACTGAAATTATAATTCTGATACAAAGCATTGCTAAGTTATTTAAAAATAAAAATATGTTTTGTTTTTTAATTTTGTGCTTTTTTTAATGTGACACCTTAAAAAAATCCCAAACAAATTAAATGAAAAAAATGTTTTTTTAAATATAAGTTATTAGAAAACTAGAAAAAAAGTCAGCAGGAAAATAAATTTTAAGGTCAGAATGGGTTAATTAGAGCTGATAATGGTATACGAAGGGTCAATAAGGGGTTAAGCAGTAAATTTTATTAAATCATTTAAAACTGTATTTAGCTTTATTTATAAACTTTATTTTCTTTACTTATCAGATTGCTTTAAAGTGTTACTAAACCCCGGACCCTGCATTCACTATATCTGGTCTCCCAGGACCCTGCATTCACTATATCTGGTCTCCCCAGGACCCTGCATTCACTATATCTGGTCTCCCACAGTACACAGAACATGGAAATGCAATTATTTTAGTAAATATAAACTGCTAAATACCTTTTCTCACCAGCAGTATATAGCAGTATTGTGACTTCTATCAGTGTCCGGGTGGGCACTGGTTAATCTTGTAGACAGTTTTCATTCTCCTTTGACTGACCTATGAAGCCGCATGACCCCTTATGCTCTGTCCTCAGATCTTCACCCTCGTCTATTACTTTTCTCTTACCCTTAGTCCATTACACAATCGGATCTACATCACACTGCACATGCATCATGGCACGTCATCAAGGGCTGAATGCGCCACCCAGGAAGAGACACCTGGCTCCCTGATGAAGTAAGAAGAGAAGATGATAGCACTGGACCCAGATTGCTGAGACAGAATGGCAGCTTACAACAGGTAATGCTGGGTTTAATGGGCAGGTGCATATGTTGTATATTGTAAAGCACTGAGCAAACTGTTGGCACTATATAAATCCTGTATTATAATAATAAGAATAATAATAATATGTTTTGTGAGGACAACCTAACAGATAAAGTAAGATGAAAAAAAGAAATTAAAAGAAAAAAAGAGAAAGAAAAGTACCTCTTTGAAGTGGTTGTAAATCCATACATATAACCAGTGAAGTAATTGGCCTCAGGTGATACACAGAGATTAAAAAAATCCTTCTATATAAGTTGTACCAGTTTATCTGCAGATGTCTGTTCTCTATATCTGTTTAAACTGCAGAATCTATACAGCTTGTCTGAGATTTCAGAAAGCAGGGGCCTCAAATTACACTCTGCAGAGCTCAGTGAGGAGAGCTCTGAGAGCTGATTGGAGGGAAGAGACACACCCCCTTTCACACAGCTCACAGGAACAGAGCTGAGGCTGTCAATCTGCTGGAGGTCAGTGGTGTATTTAGGTTTCATGCTGCCCTAGGCAACACAAAAATCGTAGAGACTCTGACCGATACCCCATCCCCCACGAAAAGAGGCTGACATTGACCAACAACATCCCAGCCGCTCACCCCCACTCGAGAGAGCCTTCCACTACTACTGCCCCCCATGCACTGACAACCCCCCCCCCCCTCTACCAGCGAGAGAGCTGACCTTCACAGCGCTGGGCATCCCCAGGAACAAAAGTCAGGCTCTGCATACACCATCAAGCAACCCGCAGCCTCTCTCAGATCCCACCTGGTCCCCATACTGATTGTGTCCCTTCTTCTGCCATCCCTTCTTTCGGGGGACGGCGCTGTCCTCCTGAAAAATGTCACCCTAGGCAAATGCCTTGTTTGCCTTGTGGTAAATACGCCCCTGCTGTATATATGATGGCCCCTGTTTTTCATACAGATAGGAACAAGGCAGCAGATAGAAATGACACTTAGTGCTCTTAACTGAGACAAGTACACCCTATAGAAGGATATGCTTTTTTCATATTCCACGTCTGAGGTTTACAATCACTTTAATTAGCTTCCAGATAAATGATCACTAGTATCTAAATGTGCACAAGATTGCAGCATTAGATTATAAGCTCCTTTGGGCAATAAACACTGATGTGAATGTTTTTTTGTTCACTCCACTACTATGTAAATGTTGGAAGTAAATAAAACAGATGGGAAGAATGTAGCAATATATCCATCAGGATACAACATATATTGTTCTCTATCTCCAAGGATTAGATCCTCGACTCATATAAAAAGAGATCAAATATTTCTGAAGTGTAAGAGGACCAAAGTGACATTGAAGACCTTGAGAAATCGATAATGGTGGAGCCACTGGAGGTGTATGTAACCTAATATTGTTGAAACCGGTATGTGCCAACATTGTCCCTGGCGCTGACCTCAGTGCAGGGCTGCGAGCCCAGGGGGGGCCCAGAGCTGTGTATTAGATACCTTAGGTTGCCACACAGTGTATACTGTAACATCTTCTCTTGGCACAAACACCAACAACAAGCAGAATCATGAAAGGGTAATTATCATGCGATCTTACTTCCCGTTGTGCGTTGACAGATGGCATTTTTGGCCTCTGTACCACTTCAATATAAAACTCATTCCGATGCCATCTTATTTATTGTTAGGAGAGATTAAATTGCATGCATATTATAACTCACGCCAGAGCTATAAATTATGACATTTGGTAACATTACAACGAGGAAGGAAACAAAATGTTTGGATCACAGTCAATGTGCAGTTGTGTGAAAACAATTCAGTCGTACAATAGATTTTTTTTATAGGGAGAGAAAAAGGGCAGTTGGCCCAGAGCAAATTTTGTTATTTTCTATTTTTCAATAGATTTCTTATTGATGGAACCTGAGAGTAGCAAAAAAAAAGAAAGAAAAAAAGCTTTCAGTAGCCGGTTCTGCTGCTTTCATGCAGATAAAACAATGGGATTTCTAAAGCTGAACCTAGGAAAATTAAAAACTCTCTTTTGCCAGAACTGCAAGGGTTAACTGGTTAGGTCTAGGGGACTTATAAGAGCATGTAGTAGGGCTGCATGGCTGAATGATTTTGGCCCCAAGCACAATGCCCTAGCCCCCCTCTCCAGCCCTGAAAGAGCACACTCCTCTGCCATCTTCTGCAGTGCTTCTAGCTATCCTCACCAAAACCCGGCCATAGACCTTTATATCCTGAAGATATCCCAAAGAAGGAGTGTCCACACAATAAATAGATTTGCTGAACCTTACTGGTGTTGCACAGTCAATCGCATATAGAGGATGGTCCACAGTAGTCACAGGTGAAAGCACATGCAGCACCTCAACAGCCATCTCCCAACAGTCTCTCCTCTGCCCAGGGTCACCAGAGCTCACAGGACTGTGCTCTCTGTAGACACCTCCTATCTAGGTACACCTCTATGGGGAACCCTCCAGGAAAGCAGTGTCATAAGGGATCTCCAGCCTGGTCTATAAGGCCTTATGTAGTCCACCCTATCCCCCACCTCCTTAAGGGACAGAATGACTACAGCTGGCTCCTCCTGCATACGGGTCCACTCCACCCAGCCTCCTGCCCTGTCAATGGTCTACATATACTAGTTAAATGCCCCCCAAGTGTGGGGTGTTTAGCTACAATGCCCCAAGTCTCTCCATGTCCTTCCCCACCAAGCTTATATGTGGGTGCTGACTCACCCCTGACATCACTGTGCAAGGGCTCTACCTGAAAGGGGCCTAACACCTTGTTTCACCACCTGCTGTACCAAACACTATTCTGGAACAGATCCACCTAGTGGTAAAGTGGCTACATACACCCGCCTACAAGCAGTTTTACTCACTTGGCAATAAAATAAAATTCCCATTTTTCATTGTATTTTATGGAGCCAATTCACATCTGAGCGATGTGTTGCTGCTTCTAATTGTTAGTCCGGTTGATAAAAAAGACACATGTCCTTCTGTTTCAACCATTAAAATGGCTTAAAAGGGCTTCTCGCACCAAAGAAGTACAGGTGCTTCTTTGGGGCAGGATTGTGAGTTTTAGACTTTAATTGGTGCGCATGAAAAAACACTTTTTTTTTTTAAATTTTACCACCTGACAATCAGTTGCCAAAACAAAAATGCTGACACCTGACATGTCATGAAAAACGTATAGAAATACGTATTAAAAAAAGAATGCCTAAAAAAGCTGATGCTCAAGTGTGAACCTAGCCAAACTAGGTAGACTAGGTTCACCCTTGTGCATTTGAATTTATGGTTTGGCGGTTGCCAGCAGAACGGTACTTGTCTGACTGCATTGTGCCAAGTGTAAAGTTTGGTGGAGGGGGGATTATGGTGTGGGGTTGTTTTTCAGGGGTTGGGTTTGGCCACTTAGTTCCAGTGAAGGGAACTTTTAAGGCGTCAGCATACAAAGACATTTTGGACAATTTCATGCTCCCAACTTTGTGGGAACAGTTTGGGGATGGCCCCTTCCTGTTCCAACATGACTGCGCACCAGTGCACAAAGCAAGGTCCATAAAGACATGGATGAGCGAGTCTGGGGTGGAGGAACTTGATTGACCTGCAGAGTCCTGACCTCTATCCGATAGAACACCTTTGGGATGAGTTAGAGTGGAGACTGCGAACCAGACCTTCTCATCCAACATTAGTGCCTGACCTTACAAATGTGCTTCTGGAAGAATGTTCAAACCTTCCCATAGACACACTCCTAAACCTTGTGGACAGCCTTCCCAGAAGAGTTGAAGCTGTTATAGCTGCAAAGGGAGGGCCAACTCAATATTGAACCCTACAGACTAAGACTAGGATGTCATTAAAGTTCATGTGAGTGTAAAAGCAGGCCGACCAATACTTTTGGCAATATAGTGTACATAGAATGATAAACTTTCCTGGGGATATTAGATATTCATATCACCAAAAACATGTCATCACAAAAAGATGAGTAGTATAAAAGAATAGTAGCAAGATAATCACCTGTAGTACCTCTACAGTTATAGAAAAATGCCCTCACTATAAAGGATCCATTATAAAAAGGTAAGTTCGATAGACAAAGGGAAAACATGAAAAGTCAAGAAAGAAGAATGAAAAACCCAGGAGGAGAGAGGTAAAGGAAAAAGAAGAAAGATGAGTGAAGGTCGTGTCCACGTGCAAGGCAAACCGCCGCATCATTTAGCTGATGTAAATGTCCATATAGCTTCCCTCTTTTAGGTATTTGAGCTGTGTATTTAGCTGTTTGTCTAAGGTTCAGCTTTAAAATATAAATTTTTTATGGATACTGAGAAATTCCCCCTTATAGATTCCATAAAGATCACGTTTTTGTACTACAGAGATTCATAGAAGTAGAATGGATGATATAAAGTCACAGTCCCGTTTTTGTACTACAGAGAATATTCATAGAAGTAGATGATGATATAAAGTCACAGTCCAGCAGATGTTTCCTAAGCTCTCCATACATATTTTTTAAGGAAGTAAGAAATCCATTTGGAAAACCCTTTCCTTATATAAACTACCGAAGTGGAGCTGTCTCCTTACTATCATAAGGAACGTCCTTTAGTAATTCACTCTCGTGGCAACTGTCCAATTTTGCTTTGGAGGCCATTTCTCTATATCAGGGGTCTCCAAACGTTCAAACAAAGATCCAGTTTACTGTTCTGCAGTC